AGTCGAGGCTTGAATTTTTTCTTCAGTTCCCCCAGCTTGAGAAATGCTGACTGTGTTCTTCCCTTTTGGTTTTCTAGCTCCAAATCTTTGCATATTTTATTATAGTATTTGGTTTTATCTTCTCGAGCTAATCTTTGAAATTTTCTGTTCAGCTCTTGGACCTCTTCAACTATTATGGACTGCCAATAGACCAAACAAATCTATGTTGGAAGAAGTACAACCAAAATGCTCATTAGAAAGCCGGGAGGGCTAGACTTTGTCTCTCTTACTTCACACTTATTGTCGAGAGGGACCAGTCTCTGGAGAAAGACATCATGCTTGGTAAAGTGGAGGGTCAGAGAAAAAGAGGAAGAATCCCAACAAGATGGATTAGCACAGTGGCAGTAGCAATGAACTCAAGCATAGCAATGATTGTGAGGTTGGTGCAGGACCGGGCAGTGTTTTGTTCTGTTGTCCAGAGGGTTGCTGTGAGTCAGTACCACCTCGATGGCACCTAACAACAATTGCTAATGATTGGGAGTATTTTTTCATGTATTTGCTGGGAATTCCTCTTTGGTGGAGTGTCCTCTTTAGTGAAGAGTCTGTTCGTGTCCTTTGCTCAGTTTTTTAAAATAATTTTGAGTTTTGCTCCATATTTTCTCCCACTCTATCCTGGATCCTCTAAAATGATCCCTTTCAGGACAGTTGGTAATAGTAGCTGGGCACCATCTAGTTCTTCTGGTCTCAGAGCCATGGAGAATGATGTTCACATGTTCCATTAGTTCATTGAATTCATTGATTCCAAATCTCTTCAATTCTTATCACTCTTCTTTCTTCCACAGATGGAAAAACCAATAGTTGCACCTTAAACGGCCACTCATGAGTGTGCAAGATGCCAGATGCTAATCACCCAAGCAGGATGTAGAACATTGTCTTTGTGGACTATGTTATGCAACTTGACCATAGTGTCCCCTGAGACTATGGTCCCCTAGCCCATCTATTCATTGCTAAGATGTTTGATAATATCTAGGAAGTTTTCATCATTTTGCTGGCTGTATGTTCTACCACGGAGTCCTGGTATGGTGCTGTGGGTTAATGCATCAACTGTAAAGTTGGTTTGAACTATAAGGTCAGCAGTTCAAGCTTACCAGCTGCTCCTTGGAAACCCTATACAGGGTCACTATGAGTTGGAACAGATTGGATAGCACTTAACAACAACAATGACAATGCTCCATATTCATAGTTGTGTTTGCAGAAAAAGCAAATACTCATGTACAAATATCTTCTTTCAAATTCTTATCTATTTGTGGAATATATATAAGGAGCTCTGGTAGCATAGTGGTTACGAATCGGGCTGTGAACCGTAAGGTCAGCAGTTCGAAATTACCAGCTGCTCCATGGGAGAAAGGTGAGGCTTTCTGGTCCCGTTAAGATTTACAGCCTCAGAAACCCTGTACAGGGTCACTATGAGTCGGAACTAACTCCACGGCACATAACAACAACAACAGCAATATATATATATATATGGTTGTTGGTGGTAGTTATATGCCATGGATTTATAACCACTACAATAACAGAGATCTTTATATATATATGTTGTTGTTAGCAGCTCAATGCTAAACTCACAGCGTCACCAGTTGTATCAAATCTGGCCCCTGGATCGGTCGCTGAGTTCCACGACCCAAACAAGTGGCGTCCTGTAGAGGGAGTAAGTGACTCTTGTCAGGGTCTGCTGGCCACTTTGCATCCTGATTAGTTTTACCGTGGTAGTGATTGTGTGCCTAGTTGTTTCCGACTCTGTATAAGTTTTTCCGAGGCTATAAATCTTTAACGGAGCAGAAAGCCTCATCTTTCTTCCGCGGAACCTCTGGTGGATTCGAACTTCTTACCTTACAGTTAGCAGCCAACATGTAACCCATTACACTATCAATGCTAGTTCTAAGGGTATGGATGATCCCGGTGCCTTGGGGATGGGATGAGGCAGGGGCGTGGCTAGTGGAAGGGGCGGGGCTTCCGGCGGGCTACTGATGTTGAAGTAACAACTAAATAAAACTCTCTGCGCGCGGACGAGTAGATTATTGGACAGCCATCAGGTCTGGGGCTCAGCACTGGTGGTTACCCATGGGGAAAGCGATGTGGGACCCGTTGTGCGCGCTGGGTGCCCTCACTGCAGCGTGGCTCCTGCTGTGGGCGGTGTGGGGTGCCGGCCGCGCCATCTACGTTTACCTGCTGCCCTGGGTCCGCCGGGATGCCCGTTGGTTCCGGTCGCACGGAGCCTGGGCAGGTGAGGGCTCTGCAAGCCGCGGGGACGGGTGGGGAGCGCAGGACAGAGGACAGATGGATGGATGGTCAGGGAAGCGAGGTGATCCCAACAAGGGAGGCATGCAGTTCCCTGGCCATGATTCTATACAGTTGAATAGAGAGGGACCCGGGATCCAGAAACAGAGTCAGAATGGGGAGGAGCAGTGAAGAGAAGCTGAGATTAAGCCCGGGCAGAGGCTGCCCCTCCTTCAGCAGGGTTTCTGGGAGAGGACACCCTGTATCTCTGCACCACCTACTCTCTTCCAGTCGTAACCGGAGCCACGGATGGAATTGGCAAAGCCTATGCTCATGAGGTGAGTTGGACTTTGGAGCCCAGGGGGCTCAAAAGAACTTCTTGGATGTTTGTCTGTCAGCCACCCCCGCACCAGATCCAGAATTATTTGTGCGTTCTGCCTGGCTCCTCTCAGACGTCCCCATCTTCCCTCTGCACCCAGGCGCTTACATTGCTCTTGTATATTCTTCTCTCCTTCTCCAGTCATTCAAAATGTTATTTTACTGACAACCACCTGGGATGGTCCCAGGAGGCCCGGTGGCGCAGTGGGTTAGGCGCTGGGCTGCTACTCGCTACTTGGAGGGTTCTCTACAGCCTCTGAAACCCTATGCAGCAGTGCCCCTCTGTCCTTTAGTGTCCCCATGAATTGGAATGGATTCAGTGGCTGTTTTTTGGATGACAGCTCTTGGATCGTGCAAATGTGTAAGAGCTGGCCTACTAGCCCAAATGTTGACTGAAAGGGCGGTGGGTCTGAGGCACCTTGGAAGAAAGTCCTGCTAGACTGTTTCCAATGATCCAGTCATGAAAACCCTGGGGGGAGCGTGGAACAGAACAGAGTTTGAATCCACTCAAGGGCAGCAGTGTACAGAATAGATTACACACACAAAAAAATTTTTCCCCACCTCAGGAAGATTATGTTCTAGTGGGGGAGACAGGAATCACCAAAACCAAGGAATCAAATCCATAGTGATAAATGGTTGATGGTGGTGATGTTGGCTGCCATCTGGGAGACTCCACATATGCAGAGTCAAGCTGTGTGCTCCATTGGGTTTTCCAGGCCATGACCTTTCAAAAGCAAATGGTCAAGCCTGTCTTCTGTGGCTCCCTGGATGGTATTAAACCTCCAAGGTTTCACTCATGGTTTGTACCACCCAGGGACTCTGTCAAATGGTTAAACACACACACAAAACCCATTGTTGTTGATTCCAGCAGACAGAGAACTAACTACCCTAGAAGGTTCCAAAGCTGTATTCTTTATGGAGGCAGAGCTGCTGTATCTTTCTCCCGCAGAGCAAATGTTGAGTTCACATCACTGCCCTTTTTGGTCAGCAGCCAAGTGTTTAATGATCAGGGCTCCTTTATCAATGGTTGGTGGGTCCAACTCATAACTATTCTATTGCAACAGAACACAACAGTCATGTGCCATACCCACAATCCTTGCTGGGCTTGGACCCATTGATGCAGAAAGTGTGTCCCTGAGGGTTCTCCTCATTTTTGCTGACCCTTTACCAAGCATGATGTCCTGCTCCAAGGAATGGCTCTTCCTGATAACATGTTCAAAACATGTGAGATGAAGGCTCACCAGCTTCACTTCTAAGGAGCAATCTGGCTGTACTTCCAAAATAGATGCTTCATTTTGCTGGCAATGCATGGCATATTAATACTCCTTACCACAACCACGATTCAACTGCATAAATTCTTTGATCTTCCTTATTGTCTGCTTTTTTTTTCATGTATATGGGATGATTAAACATACCATAAATTGAGTCAAGGACACCTTAATCCTCAAAGTGCTTTCTAATACTTTGCTCTCTAATACTTTAAAGAGGTCTTCTGCAGCAGATTTGCCCAATGCAATGTCTTATTTGATTTCTTGACTGCTGCTTCCATGGGCTTTGATTGTGGAACCAAGCAAAATGAAGTCTTTGAGAATTTCAGTCTTTTCTCACTTTATCATGATGCTATTGATTGGTCCAGTTGTAAGGATTTTCTTTTCTTTATGTTGAGATGCAATCTATATTGAAGTCTTTGAGCTTTCTCAGTAAGTGCTTCAAGTCCTCTTCACTTTCAGCAAGTAACTGCTTATCACTGGTTGTTAATGAGTCTTTCTCAATCCTGATGCCATGTTTTTCTTCATATAGTCCAGCTTCTCAGATTATTTGTTCAGCATACAAATTGAATAAGTATGTATTCTGAATAATAAACCCTAGTTCACACATTTTCTGATTTTAAACCATTCAATATTCCCTTGTTCTATTTGAACAACTGCCTCTTAGTCTTTTTTTTTTTTTTCTGCAAATGGATTTCCAGGGTTTTTTTTAGGGTTATTTTTTTTTTAATGTTTTATTGTGAATTATGTGATAGTTTACATGGGAGAACATTGGTTTTACATTCATATTCATTCTATCATATATCGTCTCATTGCCATGGTTACAATCTCCTCCATGCAATCCTTCCCCCGTACCCCCCAGGTCTTCAGCACACAGTC